GGTGAAATATCTACTCTGTCAACATTGGTTTAAATTCCAGGAATGCCATGTATATGACACTGTGTGCACATGTGCCACTGCTTCCCAACCGAGCAGCACATCCGTTACCAAGGATAAATTTCTTATGGTTCAATAACATTAATGTCATGCAGGCCGACTTAGCAGATGTTTTCTTCGCCTAAGAAAACCTACATGAAAAGGAATGCAGTACAAACATATTTTCTCATTTCATCCGTTTTAGATAATACCGTGCGTGCCTTTTCCTCCACTCTGTTTCTACACTGTAGAAACACTGCGCTGATGCTGAAAACCTGTGTAGGCCTATTTTTTCACACACACAAATTAATCAGGAATCAATAAAAATCGAATAAGCAGAATCGATAATGGCATTGGAATAAATAAAATCTTATGAATTCACATCCCTATTCTCAAACCTCTTCTGCCGCACAGCACGTCTCACTGTGTCTCTGTATGCTCAGTGTGTTCTTAACATCATATTTCTGGCAAAAATATGCTGCTGCTGTTTGTGGGGAGCAACAAATCTGTTTACCACCTGAGCCGTTCTTACTTCCAACAGATCGGAGTTCAGCAGTTGCTCAAAAAGTTGTTGAACTCCAAGTTATTAAACTAATACAGTCAGTCTGTATTAGTGTCCCTCATGCTACAATGCACTGTTGGAAACAACACGGCACTGATTCTCTAATTGGTAAAAAGTCCAGTTACAATCTCCAAGCACTTTAATTATACCTGACGGTAAGGAATCCATACTTGTTTGCCCGTCAAGGAGCAGGACTCAACCCTGTGAGCTAATCAGATATCACAGTTACTGTTTTATCTTTATGGCTTTATGCCAGTGTAACACATGAGACATGAGTAATATCTCGCATTATTACCGCAATGGCAGATTTGATTGATGCTGCCGAACGACAACGTACACACAATATGCAATGTAGTATCATTCAAGAGTGAGACTTTCAGTAGAAGCTTCAAGCTCAAAACCTGTTCCCTGGCTTTGCGTGCCCGACACTGGAATGAGTACAGATCTGGTCTAATAACCTCGTGCATTATTTAGCACTCTCTCAATACTACTGTGCATTTAGTGTAATGGCCTGTCAGGGCTGAATGCAATCACAGAGGACTGACTTCACTGATCAGTTGATGATATGGTAAGGTGAATGGGTGTTTTCCCTGTTGGTTTACTGTGAGTGATGAGTGTGAATGCCTGCTGGGATTAGATTGCCTACATGCTGTAGAACAGACTTTATGCCTTGCAGAGGACTGTGCCATTTATACTGGTCAGTATTGTGTAACATTACATTACATGATAGCAATAATGATTTTGCTGCTATGCCAAAGGACTTATTATATTTACACCAGCTGTAGATGCTGCGTTTCATCTGTCGGGTCATAGATGTACTCTGTATGTTGATAAGATGTCACCTCTCCAAAAGTCTCCAAAAGACTACCAGACTTCTTCTTGTCGTGAGGACCTCTCACATTATCTGACTGTGATTTCTGTCTTTATGGGCCAGCTTGTACAACTACTCATGCTACAAAGCCACCAAAGTAATCATGTTTTAACAGACATCCCAGATGAGGTTGGGAGCACAGATTGCAACAACTCAAGGGGGCCGCAAGACTTAATGTGGGCCTTGACAGAAATGGCTGCCAAGTTGCTATTGGCAACCGTTTTGAGAAGTTGGCAACCAGTTCTTGGCCTTTGATTGCAATCAGTAGCTACTACTTTTTAACATGAATAACAGGGACAGCAATCAGCAAAACATTCACTCCAAAGTAAATAGATTTTTTAATATTTGTTGCATTCGTGATATTTGAATACTTCTTTTTCAGTCAGAACCAGAACAAGGGCTGCACAGGTAATCAAAATATTACAAAAATCGCAGTATGGCGAAGTGCTATTTTCAGTAAAGGTTAAACGTGTCACAGTATATCATAATAAATGACGCAATGCAGTGCTACAGAGACCATACTGATCATTTTCCATGATTGAAGTTTGTTTGTCACAGACCCCATCAAAAATTCCATCTTCATCACTTTGTGCATTTTCATTAAAAAAAAAAAAATTACCATCCCCACTAAAATTGCAAGTAATATCGCAGTGGTAATGTCTGTCAAAATAATGGCATTGCATATTGTTGCGCAGGTTAGTGCTACATATTGCGCAACGCTGCACATGTTCTGGTGTGTTTACTTGCATGTGCACGGACATGTGTTTAAAATACAATGCCAGGCAAATTTAGTTGCACAAACTACAAAGGATTTTGTAATTTTTACTATAAAGCTTTTAAACATTCTTCACGTCACTTTTTATTATTAAGCTGACATTTAACATGCATAGTATCTTAATTACTTAAATATAAGGTGATTAAAAATCGCATAATTACATATTCAAAAACCAAAGACGGATGCGTGATTGCCAGCCTCCAATGTCCTGGCTGATTCTGAAAACTAATTTCTTTACAGACATATTGGCAGTCATGTCATTAAGTGAGTGACTGGCCTTACAGAGAAGTTGTTTTTCCGCATTTAATTTTCATTAAAGAACCTTGACACCCCTGCCCAGGAGGTTTGATCAAAACCAAAAAGCAGAAAAAAGTGATTTTCTATGACTATTTTGAAATATTCTGTTCAAGCTTTTTAATTTTCAGTGCTTTCTTACGAACTCTAAAGAGCCTCAAGGTCTCAGTCATGGGGTGTAACAGTACAAGTCTGGAGTTGTCTGGATTGATATATTTACTCAGTGATCAGTGAACCAATATCATCAATGCAAAGCGGCAACATCGATACATATGTTTCATACTCCTTTATTTTGAAAGTTTCATGGCACGTTTGTCACTAAGTCAGTCCACCTCCTTTCTAAACATTCAAACAGCGCTGGCTGCCTAGCACCAGGCAGACAACGGCAAGCAGCCAAGACTAAGACAACAAGGATATTTACTGATATCGTCTCATATCGACTGCAGGCCCCTGAATTATAATTGAATAATGCAATAATTGAATCGAAATCATATCATGGCAGACTTTTTTAAAACAGCACATTTTGTATCGTTGTCTAGAAAATTTATATAAGACCATATCATAATGAAACTTGTGATTTACACCTCCAGTTGTGTAGGCTACATGGAGTGTGAATGCTTGAAATGTAAAACCTGTGCCCATTTATATTACATTACCTGGATGAAGTGTGGTGGCAGTGCTGATGTGATCAACCATATTGTTTTGTTAAGACAACAAATTTGTGTAATATGATCATTGATTACAGCAGCTTTCGTTGTCGTGTATGTTCTGAAGGACCTTTGACTGAACATGTGTACCTTACCTCTGCACAGTGTGAGTCGGTGGGTGGCAGAAAGAAACACGTGTTGTGCACTGAGACAAGTGGAGAAGTTTAGGACACAGCCTATCCTATTCTGTCACTGGAGACAAGTTAGTTATCATAACAAAACAAAAGTGTTGTGACAGTAAATGTTGCACCGAGAGCAAATAAAATGGTATATTTGCCAGGCAGTGTAGATTTAACCCACTACATCTGTTCTCTTTTTCGTCCATACAGTGTGTGTTTCGTCAGTCACATCAGCTGGTTAGAGCTCAGTGTTTCAGGAGCCCAGTGATGTCATTTATAATCTGATGTGATTTCCCATCAACCCCTGTGGTCTGTTGTTTATCGGAGTTCAGTTTAACCTGTTTGCAGACTTCCTTCCACAAATATTTGCTGTCAGTTATTGCTCCTTCCAGTCGTGTGCATATTTACTGTTTCGCTGTTAACCGCAGCAGTCATCGTGTCAGATGTTCCCAGTTGAAGCATGTGGTGCTGAGATACAAGACGTCAACATACTGTAGAGGCTTCAGTCACTGCTGTCTATGATGCCCGCAGCAGTGAGGAATTGAAAAGATCCTCTGTTTCCTTTCAAGTTGTGACCTTTTGTTTTAACAGGGACTACATGTTCTGTTGGCCGGGGACATAAATTGTTTTAAAGGCATACTGTTCATATTCACGGTTGGGCTCAACAGGCAAAACAACATGCATGAGAATACAGTTGTTGCATTTACAGGAGTATATGAGACTTTTCGCAGGGCCCTTGGTTTTTAATTAGATATGAGTGATGGAGTGATGTGTCAAAACATTTTAAATTATTCAGCTGGGCCCTTACCTCATTGGCTGTTGATTTGTGAGTTTGTTGAGGTTTGTATCGGTTTAGTTACCCTCCCCTCCCCTCCCTCAGCCCTCCATCTCCTTCCATCATTTGCTTCGCTTTCACTCTGCAGTGGAAGCAAAGAAGAGAATAAGAAAGGAGCTTTGTGAAAAGGACAGTGATTGTTTGTTTATGAGGATGCTAGCCTTGCGGTGACATGCCTTTTTTTTTTTTTCCCCTCCCTCTCACGAGGCCGTTAAGTGAAATAGATACTCGCAGCACTATGTAATCAAATGTAACCCAGATCCAGCATTTTGGAGTGGAACAAGAGTTTTTCCATTTGATTCATATGGCTCCAGTTCCTCACCCCTGGACAAAAACACTGGAGCTCACTTCCAATAGGGAGACTGGGGACGTGAATATGTCCTGAAGGAAAGGGACACTGTTTGGTTGACTTGGAGACAAGGTGAAAAGAGACGTGTCTCATTTGACGTCTAGTTTTTACAGCAACTTTGTAAGAAAAAAAACAGATGACGGTTGAAATAGTATCACCTAATCAACAATATTGTGGTAGTTCTATTTAAATGACTTTTATTATTCTTTTCTCATATATCTTGTGAGGTGCAACACTGAACAGATTATAATTTAATGTAATATCCTTAAATTTATTTCAGATGTTAGAAGTTGGCAGCCCAGTTGATGTTTTTTCTCTTTTTTTCTCGTTTCGTCCTGATTGGTGGCAAAGTTATTGAGCAAGTGAACAGTTTGTACAACCAGGAGCTGATTTAATTTCTCTTTTTCCTCTCTGTAATTTGTCTTTCTCCATTTAACCCCCTCTCTGTGTAGTGATGGAGTCCACAGTCGTGAGTACGTCCACTCTGGCCCCTGATGAGTTCGATAGGAACGTGCCGCGGATCTGCGGCGTGTGTGGTGACAAAGCCACCGGCTTCCACTTCAATGCCATGACCTGTGAGGGCTGCAAGGGTTTTTTCAGGTACACAAATGCATATGTAATGTAACGGCTCTGCCGTTAAGTCGACACAGATTGACATATTCAGTGCATGCACACACAACCAGACTGAGCAGGCCTCGTGTAGCAGCACGGTTGCTCATATCACCCTGCTGAAAAACAAAGCCATGCATATCGACTGCAAAGTTATTGACACATGTACACATTAGCATACAAACACAGGTCTGAACTTGCATATATAATGGCCACCCACACATGCACACACACACACGCACATTAAATGTAATTACCACCCACAGTTACATAAGAACACACACAAAACCACTGACAACATCCGAATTTGCATTAATGCCCAGCAGCAAGTAGAGAATACAAATGAGCTCGGACCTGTAGTTAATGCCTTGGCTGCTGCCGGATCATTAGGTCTTTTTAAACAGAAATTCCGCAATAATGCTGTAAAGACGATCTGCCATCTCGCCGGTTTTGCTTTTTGCACTGAACCAAACAGCGCCAGCATTATGAGGTGTGACGAGTAATACAGCAGCGTTGTAGTCTAGTGTGGTGGCAGTCACACACAGACAATGCCCCCTACCCCCACCCCCATTATGTGTTTGTAGCAGACCTGCAATGATCAATCAACTAGTTAAACTGTTAAAATAATCAATTAATATATATATATATAATAATTTGATAATTGATAAAGCAGTGGGGGCACGGTGGTGTGGTGGTTAGCACTGTCACCTCACAGCAAGAGGGTTCCTGGTTCGATCCCGGGTGTGGGAGCCCTTCTGTGCGGAGTTTGCATGTTCTCCCCGTGTCAGCATGAGTTCTCTCCGGGCACTCCGGCTTCCTCCCACAGTCCAAAGACATGCAGTTTGGGGATTAGGTTAATTGATAACTCTAAATTGTCCGTAGGTTTGAATGTGAGTGTGAATGGTTGTCTGTCTCTATGTGTCAGCCCTGCGATAGTCTGGCGACCTGTCCAGGGTGTACCCTGCCTCTCGCTCGATGTCAGCTGGGATAGGCTCCAGCCCCCCCGCGACCCTCGAGGATGAAGCGGTTAGAAGATGAATGATAAAGCAGTTTGAGTAATATTTTTTAGGCGAAAAACAAAACAAACATCTCTATTTCCAGCCTCTTAAATATGAATATTTTCTGGTTTCATTACTCGTCTGTGACAGTGAACTGAGTGTCTTTGGGTTGAGGACAAACAAAGACATTTGAGGACATCATCTTGGGCTGTGGGAAAACTCTGATCACCATTTAATCGACAATGTAAATAAGAGTTAGTTGCAGCCATAGGCGGCGGAATAACACAACATTCCCACCTTGAACAGGCTGTGTAAAGACGGCTATTGATACACACGAGTTTCCAATTTGACCAAAGACAAAACTAGAGCGAGTCATGATTGTGCGAGCTTGTTTGTGTTTGATGTATCCGCCCATTTACGTCTGTTCCTTTAGGCAGCGTTGGTGTTTAAAGGGAGAGGATGAAAAAGACGGATGTTTAATAATCTTCTTCCTCGTCTCTCAGCTGGCCCATGTTTGAACTCTCCCCATGCATGCTTCACTGTGTGTTTTTGCTCACATCTGTGTATAAATGATCAGACATACTGTCCCTCATTGACTAAATCACTACGCTTTGCGTCACTTTTTGGCAAGACTCATCTTTTACCCCTGGATTCCTTGGCACACATCCATATTTATGCTGTTCACTCACAGTCCCGGGCTTGAAGCACAAAAAATATTTATCCAGTTCCACCATGATTATTATTTGTCAGAGGTGCTACAGTGCCCTTTTTTTTTTTTTTCCCTTTCCCTTTCCCTCTTCCAAATCATTCAGATTGTTTGCCCAGAGCTCACATATCAACGTAGTGACAAACATGTTCAGACACACACATACACACACACTCTTTTCTTAATAACTTCAGTGATTTATTTTTGAATTATACTTAGGTGTGTTTATAAGCTGCTACATGTGTGTGTATTTTAACAGACTGTAAAATGTATACAATTTATTTAGGCGCAGTATGAAGCGCAAGGCCACCTTCACGTGTCCCTTTAACGGCAGTTGCACCATCACCAAGGACAACAGGCGCCACTGCCAGGCATGCAGGCTCAAACGCTGTGTGGACATTGGCATGATGAAAGAGTGTAAGTATGACAGGTGACCCATATGTCATCAGAGCAACACTCTTAACGCTACACCTAGTGATTTATGACATGTAGCTAAATGTGGAGTAACTCTTTTGGGTTAGATGCATGGTGCTTGTAATAAATGATCATGTTAGATTGTACAAACCATTATGTTATGTAAGTTTTTGACAGTGTTTGTGGTTGCCCAGCACTGTTGAATGTGGATCAAAACTATGTCCTGGACTCATCCAACACCACCCTCCCACTTACACAAATTAGACAGTGATATACTGCGTATAAATTACATTTAGTCCACAGTTCTTGTTTCTTTTTTTGGATGGATAGTAAGATTTACACAACTGCTGTTTGTAGATTTGGGGGCCTACTGTCCCTCTTGTATATATTATGTAATATTTGGACTGAGGTCAAGTATCTCTGGGTCTTTGCCCCCATTAGCATGTTGACATGCTCTGTTTGAACGAGTGGAGCCTCCCCACATTGTATGGAGTAAGTATACTCCATCTGAAGTTTAAACACCTGCTGTTATGTACAATCTAGTGAGGCCTCTTCTTTCCTCACAGTCTTGTTTATTTTCACGGTCTGCAAATAGCAGGTACATTCTTTTTTTCTTGTTTTCTCCTGATATATCCGGATATTGTCCCCAGGCCTCTTTTAAGCAAAGGCCTCTCTCACTTCCAGCTGAATGTTCTTTCCCCTCAGTGTTTCTGGGAACACCACAAGAGCGGTGGCACCGACACTGCGATTTACTGTACGCGGAGAGGAGCCAGTGGCATTGCTGTTGCAAAAACAGCAGCATGTTGTTGAGACCCAGCTCTCTCTCTCTCTCTCTCTCTCTCTCTCTCTCTCTCTCTCTCTCACTCACCGGCTCTCTCTCTCTCTCTCTCACCGGCTCTCTCTCTCTCTCACCGGCTCTAGCTCCCTCTCTCTGTCTCTGTGAGCTAATTCAGTGGTTAGAACAACAAGGAGCGAACAGAACAAAGACAATGCGTTCACTTGTTCATTGCAGCAGGGGTCTCCATATGGACCGTCCCCTCCCATTCTCTTCCTCCAGAGAATAACAACCCCCCCACCACCACCCAACACCACATTGACATAGCTGTCATCACAATGTAAAACACAAGTACACCACCTGTTTTTTTGCTTATGTGAAAACTGTGTTCTCCAAGCATGTTTTTTTTTTAAGTTGTATTTTCCCATGTGTGTTTACAGTTCTAACACTCTCGTTCCCTCTTTGTCTCATTATAATCGCACCCTCAGTCATTCTGACAGATGAGGAAGTGCAGAGGAAGAAGGACCTGATTCAACGGAGGAAGGACGAGGAAGCGCAGCGTGAAGCAGAGAAGGAGGCGCGGCGGCCCCGGCTCAGTGAGGAACAGAGTCAGGTCATCGCCACGCTGGTGGAGGCGCACCACAAAACATATGACGACTCCTACTCTGACTTCTGCCGCTTCAGGGTTTGTGTCTTTATATAGTTATCCAGATTTATTTCTATTCACAAATTTCATGGGACTTAATGACAAAATAGAAGTACAGCTGATATTGTTGCGATGCAGTTTCAGCTCTGTTAGAGCAATATTAGCAATTATATTGCTTACAGCCAATCCCAGTATACTCCTTGCCCCTGCAACTTAGCCTCACCCCTCGGTTTTGTGGATACACTTAGAGGGGTAGGGTGTCTGGATCCTTGCTGGGATAGAGGGATTCGGTCGATGTGTCAGGGCTACATGGCCCTCTAATACAGTTCCCTCAGAGGCACACATCAGTGTTGTGAGAAATCGATGGAAAGATGGCAACAAAAGACACCAACAAATGTATTTATTGAATTAATAAAGATTTTAAAATGACGATAAGCATTGTATTATCTCAGTTTAATGTTGTTTCAATGTTTAATGGTCTTTTTATTTATAACAACAGTAGTTGCCATTATGCAGATGTTTCAATAGCTAACTAGCCAGCTAGCTAACACTATATTGTTATTGCAGATTTGTGCACAATGGTCCCACATTTTGTAATATTTCTACGTGGCATCTCTCCCCCTTGATGGCGTTTGACAACCGAAATTTAACTCAAGTCCAGCAGCTAAGTTGCTATGCTTTTTACCGCTCCTCTAATATCAGTGCAGACTGGCACGGTAGGAGCACGGGTTGCTAGCATTAGCCTACAGATCACCACTGCTGGCCTAGTAATGAAGCATTGTGCTTTTTTATATGATGATGAGCAACTGATAGTGTGAACTAATTGTTAGCATCCTGACAACCACAAAAGGATTGTCCCGTCTGTTTACATGAATGCCTGCATCGTCAACTACTGATGATGTTTCAGGGTCTTGAAGGGTTGTTCTATTTCTTAGGGGGAGATTTGACCTACTACCCCTTGTAATCTTGTTCTGAAGGGCAAGATGGAACTCGAAAACAAGGGGTAGGGTTAATAACTTAAAAATGGGATTGGGCCTTAGACTGGCAGTTTGTCACTTTCACAGGGGTGTTTACCTTATCAGCACACTCACACCACATCAGTGTTGTTTACACACATCGGAATTTCCCTCTGCTTCAGTTTTGTCCCACTGCTCATCAACAACAGTTATGTTTTGTAATGTTTACGTACAAAAGCCAGTGGCCCATTTTTCCTCCGAAACTATGTGTGATCATCCAAAACACCTCTATCTTTTCAGTCATCTAACCTGTAGTGGTGCTGACTATTCTATATCAGATTTCCATCTCAGCCATGCTCAAGTTGAGTAACTCCATCCCATTGTTTCAGCAGATATTTAACAAAACTGTACATTCTGTATTTTTCAGAATTCTGAACACAAATTGACCAGCTGTGTGTGAGATTGTGAAATGCTTTTATTTTAATGCATAAATGTAAAATATTCCAAGATCACATGAAATGGTTTTTATTTTTGGTGACTGGACTTACTTGAAAATGCTCCAGTGTCTTTATGTGTGTCCTTTTCTCCTGCCCAGCCTCCTGTGCGCGAGGGCCCAGTGACGCGTAGCGCCAGTAGAGCTGCCTCTCTCCACTCTCTGTCTGATGCGTCCTCTGACTCCTTCAGTCACTCTCCAGGTAAGAGACACAGTGTGGAGACTTTCCTCAAAATGAGGTGAAAACAGTGACTGTTCAAGGTTACAGAAAAAAACAGTTTGTCCTGCACATTCCTGTCATAGGAATCATCTAGAAACAAATTTTACTTAAAGAAGGAAGGATAAGTGTCACCTCGCTGGAATTATAACTGACTTGTTAAAGGAAATCAACTTAACCTTCACTAGAAAGTAATACTATCTCACACAACAGGTTTCGAGAGAATATTGTCATGAAAGTTAATGCCTGCCTTAAGGGGATACTTTTTTTTTTTTTTTTAACTTCACTGTTTTTAAAGGTTAGTTTGGATTCACAATCTAACTGATTGAGGCAGCGGTAGACCAGCAACTCCCATGTTCTGTGCAGTAAAACTACTTATTCCACTAATGATTGATAACTACCTCATACAGCCCCACTTCAAGAAGTCCAAACTATCCCTTTAAGACAGCCGTGTTTTCCAGTTCAGCTGTTTGCTGCTGGCGCATCTGTTATGCTGCTTTCTGAGAATCCAGCGGAAATTCTGTGAATAACCTGCTTCTCCCCCCAGACACCTGACTCCTACTAGTAAACATCAGTTCATTAATGCATCCATCACTAATGGAGTGAACACAGCGAGGGACACGGTCACGTGGCTTACCGCCAACACTCAGCTGAGACAAATGACTCAAAACAACCCCGGCCAGCTCTGCATGCTTCACATGTTGTCGTAGCTGTCATCCAAGCTTTCATCTCACTCCTACTGACCTGACACTCGTGTATTTTCAGATGATCCTTTCCGTCAACAAGCCTTCTCTGTTCCATGATTTCTCTCTGTCCTCTCAGCACAGAGCGTGTCTATACCCGGAGGAATAGTGTGACATTGTGATGCTTTGTGTAAGAATGCTTTTCTCTCCCCTCTTTAATACGGTCTCCTTTCTTCCCCCCCTTTTTTCTCTTCTTGCCTCCTCTCTGTTCTGCTGTCTTCATCCTGCTCATTGCAGAGTCAGTAGACACCAAAATGAACTTCAACAACCTGCTGATGATGTACCACGAGCAGGGCAGCAGCCCTGACTCCAGCGAGGAGGAGGTCTCCAGCTTCTCCATGCTGCCCCACCTGGCTGACCTGGTCTCCTATAGTATCCAGAAAGTTATTGGCTTTGCCAAGATGATCCCTGGGTTCAGGTGTGTGTCTGTGTCTGTCTGCTCTGTGTGCGCATGCGTGTAGCCAGAAAAAAACATGCCTTATCGACAGAATTTGACTCCAAAGCTGACGAAAAAGATTGATTGTGTTTACATGGACATGAATAACCCATTTATGAGGCTTATTCCTGGATATAGTCAGATTCTGGATATGGTGTTTACATGAGAATAGAAAAATGGGGTTATTCATATTCCCGGTATACACGTAAAATACTAGTTACTCTGTTACTGATTACTGCACTCTATATGGGCAGGCGCCTGTGATGTTTATAAAAACAACCCAACCTACTGTGCATTTACTACCACTTGACAACTTTGCTGTGAATTTCCTCTCCGCTCTGATCACCAATAGCTGTCTGCTCTGAACACCGACCATCATCTCTTCCTTCTCTCTGTCTCAAAGCACACACACACACACACACACACACACACACACACACACACTATGTGCTGAGCTAATGTTATTCCTGATAGCAGCTACGCTGATTCCAGCCTGTCACTGTCACTACCGCCATGTGGGACAGGCGAGCGGTGAATTAAAATATGCAGCAGCTTTCATTACGAGAAGACAAAAACTGTGTTTTCTGATCACCCCAGAAGTAAGATGCTTTTGCTGCCACCATTGTTTGTATTTCTGTTACGTCATTTGGCCAAAGTTGCGCCTGCAGGGGCAGTCGGCAGTTCTCAATAACTGGGGCAAGGTGTAATACATGTCACTATTCCGGTGGGGTTTTCTTTGTAGTACTCCAAGCAGCATACTGTAGTTTTTAATAAAGAAGATAATGTGTATCTGGGTTTCTGAAAACAGGATGTGGTGTTTGCATGCTCAAACACATTAATAGGATACTTTTAAAACACAGTTATAAACCAGTTATTCATGTCTGTGTAAACACACTTACTGTCTTATCAAATTCACAGTTACAATACAAAATGGCAAGAAAATTTGTTCGTTAACAGAAATAATTAGTCTCTGATAATGTCATGCTGCTATTTCAGTCTCAGGCTGTGCTGTTTTGGATATCAGTGTTACATAGAGGTGTTTACATGTCGTCGAGTGACTCTTGACCCAATTGTGCATCGAAGACTTTGTACACCTACTTGTTTTTCTGCCCCATTAGTCGATATTGTGCCACAGTGATGCTATGGTCTAAAGGCCACAGATTACTGATACTGTATATAACAGATAGCTAACACATTGTGGAAAATCTTTTTATGTTGGGTTGTTCCTTCACTGCAGGAGGTTATACATTTGCCACAGTTATGTTGTGAGTGTGAAGTTCAGCCCTTTGTGTGACAATCACCTACTAACACAGTGTGTTAGTAGGTGATTGTCTAACCTTTAGAGGAAGACATTCTTAATGTACATGGCAGCGACCTGTCTGTCTCGCATGCACACCCTGAGATTGTCTATCTGATGATCACACATTTTTGAAGAACATGTGATTGACCGATCGCAGGAAACTGTCCTTTTGTGTTAGAGGTTGAATGGCCCAAGGTCGATTCTTAAGAGATACGAGGGAGAATGCAATATCTTAACCTTGAAAATAGAGCTGAGTAAATGGAATATGCATACGTGTGGAAAACACAAGCCAGCACATTATTTGTGACTGTAAAGGCAAAATCACAATGGCTGGCCGAGGCCTTTTCGTTGTGCCTTCCTCACATGGCTACTGCCACCTTTCAGTGTGTTTGTCTCTCAGTGTGTTGACAGGGACAGAACACTCACTGTCTCGGGGGAGTCACCCCAAAGTCGAGGCTAAAACAAGTCGGGGCCTGTATTTCCTGAAAGTTGTCATTCCTGTTTGCAGCGAGTGATGGACGTGCTCAGATTACCTTTGGAATGTTTGTCCACTTATGATCTGCTCCCTAAAGCCCTGAAAAATACCCCAGACCTCCCCTGAAGAAATGCAGGGATCAGCTTATGTCTCCTGCTAGTTCAGTAGTGTCATTCTATAAACATTTAAAAAACTTCATAACATTACTAGATGCAGGATTTTAGCATGACAGCCATGACGCTTAAAACAGCATGACTTTGATTTTATCAAATGAATTTTCTGTACAGTGAGACCCACTACAGCAGGAGGAAGCAAACAGAGAGAAATATTTTAGATGTTTTGTCGTCCTGCAGAGCATCTATCTGATAAACTTGGAAGACTTTGACTGACCTTAAACCTGTTGTCAGTAAACCACTGATAAGCAAAATCCTATGAGATGTACCATACAGCTGACATATTGCAGATATGTTGTTAACCTTTTGCTGGATCACTTTGCTGTAAAATTAAACATGACCAGCACTGCACGATTAAGGTTATCTGAGGACTATTAGTTTAATAATTTGCTATTTGTGGTTCACTAACGTAGCAGGTGACATCTCCTCTCCCTGCAGGGAGCTGACTGCAGAGGACCAGATTGCTCTGCTCAAGTCCAGCGCCATCGAGGTGATCATGCTGCGCTCAAATCAGAGCTTCAACCTGGAAGACATGTCCTGGAGCTGCGGTGGGCCTGACTTTAAATACCAGATCAGCGATGTCACCAAAGGTCAGTGTAAACCCCGCCACGTGTACAGTCTGCAGTGAAGACAAGCTAATGCTCAGGACTATGCATATGCACGTTCGTCAACTCATTTTGTTCAGCTGGTAGCTGAAGAAAAGAAGCACTTGTTACACATTAACTCTTCTATTCAGAGCGCGACGGAAGCAGCCTGGAGTTAAGGAAGTGACCGGATCATTAGTGTGGGAGTACAGAAAGGTTACTGGCAGTCGCCTGTGTGCACGCCCATAGGAAAAGGACGCTAATACACGTTTTTCTGTTAAACCAGTCTAACATATCCACAGAGGCCCCTGTGGGCAAGGCTTTCATTTGCCTTTCAAACAAGACTCCTCTCTCAGGGATCAACCAAAGAATGTCACTCCTGACCTGCTCACCACACAAAACAACCACTGTCTGGACGAGGAGAAGCTGCTCTGTTGTGCTCTTCTTAAAATATCCCTGAGGAGTTGACATGAACATAAACGGAATGCAGATGTTTTCTCATACAGTAATCGGTAGTATACAAACATGTTAAAACAAAGTTCAAATTAATTCTGCCTCTTGTTTCATAGTGGCAGCTCGTTAGTAGGGGTGGGAATCTTTGGGCACCTCACGATTCGATTACGATTCAGGGGCTACGATTCGATTATAAAACGATTATTGATGCATCTTTAATTTATGTATATTGATGCACTTTTTCACAACACACATTTCTTTTTTTCTCACTGAATAAGCATTCAACACTTGCAATTTTTAAAAACAGTGCATTTGTAATAAGAAAGAGTTGAATTCATTTCCATTGTATTTTATTAAACATATAAATGGAAATGCGTGCAAACTGGAAAGTTACAACTTCGTTGTACGGAACCAAAGGTAACAACAGGTATCTTAAATCACAAGATAAAATGCGCAGTTAGAGTAACAAATGATTCGGTGGCGACAGACGTCCACGCATCACATGTAACTGCGTTCCTACCTACCTGCCTTCAACAGTGAGGCCGTGACTTCTGTTTTGGTTTGATGGTAGAGTGTCGGTGAAATAGCGTCGGGATGGGATGGTGTATCTGGGCTCCAGTGTATGCAGCAGTGCTCGAAATCCCTGATTTTCCACGACAGAATAAGGACGCAAATCCTTGGCAATAAAGGCCGCGATGGCCTTCGTAATTCGCTTCGCCTTTTCCGATGAGGGTGGCAGCTTTCTAATTGCTTCCTTGATTGTTCTCTGGTCGGTAGCGCCACTAGTTGCCGCAGCAACATCAGCCTGCCGTCTCCCTGACTCCTCCGTCAGGTGGAATCGAGTTACATGGCTTCTCATGTTTGTTGTGTTGCCAAAGTATTTTATTTTAGCACGACACAGCTTACATATAATGTGGCTCTTGTCCAGTTTGCTTCCTCTTTCAACGTTGTAGAAGTCTAAGTATTTCCACACATCTGCTTTTAAATTAGAAGAAGCTGTTCAGCTCTCACGGCTAGGTGGGTAGCGGTCAGCCATGTTTGTTTTCCTCTGTGCGCATGTCGGCGTGTCTGCTCCAGGTGCGCATCCCAAAGTGTCCCGGAGATGACACGTACCGCGCTTCTTAGTTCTGCATTATTTAGAACCTTCTGTATTACTCTAATTAACAGATTTAAATAATCGAAATTTGGACGTTTGTGAATCGATTCAGATTCGTCCACGTCCGAATCGCGATGCATCTAAGGATCAGAAATTTCCCCCACCCCTACTCATTAGTAAGATTTTGAATGCAACATTGCAGTTATAGTTACTGCTGTACATCATTAAAATGTCCGATACCTGAGTTTCTGTTCAAAGTGACATTTTTTTAATACTTTTTCCAGAAAAAAGTTGTTAAACTCAACTTTACAATCCACCAGTCATTAATATTGTGTTAACACAAACAGATGTCCAAGACTGTTTCTTAGTGAGACACAGCATAAAGTAAGTAATTATCCAACTTCAATTGATTTATTAATTACAAGGATTAATTTATCTGAAATAGGGATGCACTGAAATTCTGGGCAGATATTATTTGTGTTTTTGTTTTGTTTTTTTGGCTATTTTGTGCCTGGGAAACTAAGAAATCTTCATTATGAAGAATAACTTAACTGTTTTTTAATGATGCAGACTTTAAATGACCACAAATTCAATCAGACACATTTATGAAACAGCCTTTAATATAACCTTCTTTCACATGAAAACCATCTTTTAAAAATTGCATGAAAAGCCTTTTTAATATATATAATAAACCCTAATTCCCTCTCTTAATATCTTTTTTATATTGCCGTGAAAACATCTGTAAATCTCTCCTTTAAACAGCTGTATTCATTCAGTTTTCTCACCCTAAACTAAATTTTGCAAGATTGCATTTAAACACATCATGGTAACATAATTTATCTTCTTTAGATGTGAGTCTCGCCCCCGACCGCTAACAGCTAACGATAAATATCTCTCCTCCTGCCGAGTTTTACGCGGATTTGTTAGCATTATCAGGGAAACAATAAGATACGTTCCCTGATGCGTTGATAGTGACTTTGCTACGTCCTTTTGTCCTGACGGCGTCCCAGGGAAGATCCCTGTCTGTCCCAAACAGATTTCGGATGTCTCTGGGACGTCATGATCTATTCGTCTGCACAAAATTGTTGCGACACAACAGAAAAACCTAGGTTACTGCCAGTCAACAAGTTGAATATTGGCCAATACTGATGTTTGGCTAATTAATCATTGCATCTCTAATCTAAAAAATAATTTGATGCTAACATATTTAATGCTAGAGGCACAATTTAGTCTGTGCTCAGAAAGCGTTCAGGCTCAGTACACAGCCCCTGCCACAGAAATAGGAAATGGAGGTGTAGTCATATTAATCAATGGAGCCTTTTGATCAGTATTTTGTATGCCTTCTCATTTATGCATCTCCATAAACACACACACACACACACCCCCCCAGAGATGGCATATACACTGATCCAATTCAAATTTTCTAATTAAAAGAAATTCTCAGCCGGCAGTTCTCCTTTAAAATAAACGTGGGAACGCACAGCATTCAAGAAAAAAAACTCCTCACCAGAGATGATTCCAACAGGCTAAATGAAATATTAATAAGTTAGCGGGATGGTAACGTTCCCTGGGGGGCCTCTCTTCTGTGATATAGTGTGGAGCTGATTCTATGTGCTGCACAGACAGTAATGATGTGCTGCGTCCTCTTTAGCGGGCCACACTCTGGAGCTGCTGGAGCCACTGGTGAAGTTCCAGGTGGGCTTGAAGAAGCTCAACCTGCGGGAGGAGGAACATGTGCTGCTGATGGCCATCTGCTTGCTTTCTCCAGGTACCGTGGGTCTGACTGTGCGGAGGAGGGAACATATAGAGGGTCATGATGAATTGTTTATGAGTGATCTTCTTTGCTTTTTTTTTATTCCAGTAGAGAATGTATTCATTACAGCTTTAGTTTTGGCACAAGATCAACTTAAATATTTTATTGATATGTATATTTTGGAGATTATCCGAAGCATTGTTTGCATCTGTCAGTCAACATAAATCACATTGACGTGCAGATCACTTGAAGAGTTTCGTGTCTCTCACGAGCATTAGCCTTTATTTGAATGCACACTCGCGTATGGTATGCGTTCACCGTAGATGCAGTGCATGTATTATACACGTATAGTTATGCATGCAGGCGTGTGTAACTGAGTGGATATTTGCATTCCTGTGTGTATACAAGGCACCTCATTATTCATTGGATGTGCTCCCCTAATCTAAAATTAGCAAGCCACCTGACCAGAACAGTAGAAGTAAACACAAAGATCGTGCACGTTGATGGTAATTTACAACCGGACTGATTGTTCTGTGAGATAAGTGTTACCCTGTAGTAAACACTTGCACTGTAATCCTTACTTTTCCAAAACATTTCAGATGTAACAGCTAATCTTGGTTGCCTTTTAGCTGTGTAACAGCTATAAATATCTTAAGACTCTCCCCTCCCCTCCTGCAGACCGCCCAGGTGTGCAGGATCACGCACGGATCGAAGCCCTCCAGGACCGGCTGTCAGAGACCCTGCAGGCCTACATCCAGCTCCACCACCCAGGAGGACGGCTGCTCTACGCCAAGATGATCCAGAAGCTGGCCGACCTCCGCAGCCTCAACGAGGAGCACTCCAAACAGTACCGCTCGCTGTCCTTCCAGCCGGAGCACAGCATGCAGCTCACCCCGCTGGTGTTGGAGGTGTTCGGCAGCGAAGTGTCCTAGAACCTCTGAGCCTCGGTGGCGGAGAGGAAGCTGGAGACAAGACCCCCACCTGGGGGTAAAAATGGAGGGAGGGAGCTGAGGATGTGCTGGATGGACTAAATGGAGGTGTTGGGTATGAAGCAAGTGGAAGAGAAAAAGTTTGTGTTTTAAGTGTGTGCGAATGTGCGTGTGTGTGTGTGTGTGTGTGTGTGTGTGTGTGTGTGTGTGTGTGTATAAGTGTGTTGTCTCGTCTAAAGAAGTCTATCTTGGCATACAGACCAAGGTTGTATGGAGAGAAAGCAGATGTTAGGAGACACAGTAAACAAGGAAACGTCATTTAATACAAATTGAGCTACACATACAACTTCTGCCTATATACAGTGTTTTTGTCTGTATTTAAATCAACAAACCGCTGCTTCAAATGCCTGGACATTTTGTGTGTGTACGTGACGTACACACACCCACACAACAAACACACTCAGTTATTCATTTAGCCATTCAGTTGAGCTACCTCTTTGTTTTACTGGGGTTGTTTTACATCACCTATGTGAAACACTAACTTTTACACAGAACAATTTAGATACAGTACGGAGGACATTTCAGTTCATCGTGCAAACGCAGTGCCTGCACATTACCTTTTGAGTTTTTGGTGTTCCAGAACTTTTTTTTATTTTGTTGTTCATCTGCTTCTCTCCAAGGCAGCATATGTATATGACTATGTATACAATTCAAACACATGCCTTTCGCCTTTCACCAAAGGTATGGTCAACTACTTTCTCAAAAAGCTTCCAGTACCTAAAAATAACCGCGCTGCTCCACGGCTCGTTTCACGTGTGCAGCCTCTCGACATGCTAGCAAGTTGTCTGACTAGCCTCACAGCCTATGAAGGAAACTTTCGTTATTTAGGTTTATACTGCAGAGTACAGAGCATAGTCTGTAATTTAGTGAGGTTTTGATAGGACTTTGGGGTGCCTGGTTTTGAGGTGAGAATTAGCCACTAAATGTGTTAGCTACTTTTACACTGCTAACTTGTCAATCAGAACGAGCCTGCATTATGGCTTGTTGCTCTCTTTTGAAATTGTTTTTCCTTCTTCTTGGCTTTTGTTTAATTGTTTCCCTGTAAATAGTTAATTACTACCACATGTATCCTAAGCACTGTTATACCACCACCTTTTACTCAAGCCTATGTATTGATATACAGTATATGTTATCACAGATTTTAAAGGGCTAAGATGCCAAATCTAACTGGAATAGTAAATCAAGGCCAAAGCAAGGGGCCTGTCTTGTTAATATATAGCTGCATACCATACTTGGAATTGGCATATATACTGATGTAATTGCAATGGATGTTTGTTTTGTTTTATACGTCATTTCACCTCTAAAAACAATTCCATGAATTGTTCCTCCTCAGTATACAGTGAGCTCGGTGGGCGGAGAGCTTGGGAAGCTGCTTCAGACCTCCACAGATATCACACCCCTTTCATTTCTGACAGGGAAGTGGATTTTCTAGAATGTCTGAGGGCCTGGCTGTGGCAGCGGTGTGCACCTCTACACCCAGGCCCTCCTGTTTGATGATGTATGCTGCGCAGCCCTCTAGTGGCTGCATCGTGTAAATACCAGGTATATATA